TTGCCTTTTCAGGTTTGTCCCTCTGATTAGCCACTCTAAAAATCACTCCAGGGAAAAAATCACAAAGTTATCCTTAAAACAGAGAGGCATAATTAAACATTCCTCTACTAACAAAAAAGAAAAAAAGAAAAAGCAAAGCAATCAGCTCCAGCAAAGCTAGCAGGTTGTTGCTGTACTCACACTAACTCTAACCCTCTCAGTCTGGCAGAGATCTCACGGAAGCTGCTGAAGAATCTCATTGCTACACACCATTTGACCAAATTTATTTGTTTTCTCAAGCTAGATCCGCTATCAAATATACCTATCTGCGCAAATATATATGGATCTCTATTGGGCATCTCATTCTTTAAGGCAAACCATGTTCCTGAATTTAACATACGCCAAACCTATAGCAATGATTAGTAAACTGTTACCATTGCCAGTTTCTTTCACTGGAACCTTTCTCCTTGTTTTCAGTGAAAACAGTTCCAGTGTGCCAACGTATGGATCACCAGAGCTCTAATTTTATTCTTCCAAATTACATACATACTAACTAGGAAGCTACCTTAATGATCAGCATTTCCACTGGTCTTTTAGCAAAACCATGGCGGGTCTGGGGGGATCTTTTCCTCTCTTTATTATTAGTTAATGCCTGGGAGGTCTTTACTCATAAAATTTCCTTCCTTGCTACTACCAAAATTAAAGCCTTAATGCCACGTCAAGATCTATGCCAAGTTCACTTGTTCTCTGACCTTTGACAAAGTACTTTATCACAAGCCTTTATACGACTGTGGTTTCACCAATACACTTACAGGGTCCTACACATTGTAAGAGAAACCTCCTTTATCAGTGAAAGTGGAACATATAGTGTCAGATCACCACCAATATAAAAATTGCAGGTAGCGCTTTCATTCCTTACATTTCATTTAGATACTTGATAACTCTTTGAGTGGGACAACTCGGCAGTCTTCTAAAGGATGCATGTATACAAATCCTGCCTGATGGGCTCCAGTTGTTAACCAGGGCCCCTATGAAAATATAAATAACTTTTGGCAGGTTTTTTTTTTTTAATTAAATATTATTTCTGGAAAAAATATTCCTATCTACTGACAGGAGTACTTTCAGGTAGACCAAGTCTGAAAGTAAAAAAAACTGTTAGATTTTTCTAGCTGTGGTAAAGGACAAAATGGTACCCTGCAGGTTTTTAACCCCAAAATGGTTGTAAAGCTTAAACATTTAAAGCTGTTCGCTTCAATTTCATAGCCTTTAAGATATTGGCAAGATTTCTGCAGACCAAAAGCACACCAAAGTCTTAGGTTAGATGCACCCTCAAATTTCCCAGTTTGGAGTTAAAGTAAAAATCTGTAACATAACTCTGGAAAAACCCCCCTCAACAGTACAAAATGTAACTGCCTCTCCAAGCCCACATCTTTATTTCGATGTCCTTGTGACAAGACCTTAAGGTATTCAGAGGAGTGAGATGGAGCTGCTTTTACCTTTTACTTAAAGCACTCCAAAAACACCAACAGCCCTTTTGATCTTCAAAGGTAGTGTTATCGGACTGCAGACTACAGCAAGATAAAGAAAACTCTGTTCTGCTAGGCGAAACATGAAAATTGCAAACAAGTCTCCTCCCTGCCCATTATGTCTGTGCATGGCACAGTCTTTCTTCTTCCCATGCTCTCAGCCCAGCAGAGTTTCCCAAAGTTACAGCAATCAGTAGCTACAGAGGCTCCTTTGGATCCCCAGGAAATTTTCCTTTTTCTCTTCCCCTTTGAAACTCAGATGTGAGTCTTTCTACAACTCTTCTCCACATCCCCACCTGTGCTGCATAATCCCAGCTCTCTGTCTCCTTCCTGACTAACTCCTCCCCTGGGAACTTCCCCAGATCAGCTTCCTCAGGCACTTTCTGGCAGTGTCTTTGCCTCACCCCCAAAAAACACTCAGTCAGACTCAATACACAGTGGCAGACATGACAATGCAAGGAAACAGTCCTTCTGCTGCTGCATAGCCAAGCCTTTTTGTCAAAGGTCAGCAGAATACAGTAAACGGTGAGGCGCACAAAAGGTATCGTCGCCATTAGAGTTTGGAAAATGATGATGTGCTTTTTGGGCTGCACTGAGGTGGTTTGCCCAACCCAAACCTTTTCCACTGGTGTCTATATTGCAACCAAAGAAGTCCCTTACGCCAATCAGTATACTTAATTGTGCACCTCTTTCAAACTAAAAGAGGGGCAATTTAAACTGGATTTATGGAAAAAAATTTTTACAGTGAGGGTGGTGGAACACCAGCACAGGTTGCCAAGAGAGGTGGTCAATGCCTCATCCCTGGAAACATTCAAAGTCAGGTTGGATGGAGCTCTGAGCAACGTGGTCTGTTTGAAGATGTCCTGCTCATTGCAGGGGGGGTTGGATGAGGTGACCTTTAAAGGTCCCTTCCAACCAAACTTTGACTCTATGATCTCACTAATACCAGACACTAGGTGTATTTTCTATATTCATAACTTTTCTGCTTAGTACAGAAGGAACCATTTCTGTAAAATTAAGTTGAAACTTACTGTTGGTGCATGTTGCTGTTGTTTGTATGGAAGGAATGTGCAGGCGTTTATCTCAAACACATTGATCCTCTGCAGAAATGCTAGTCAAAAATCAGGAAAGAGATTGGGATGTAAAAAGTATACAGCCTAGATGGTCCCAAACACAGGCACATCCCTTTAAAATATCACTCTGATTTTGTGAGATTAAAGATTGAGTTACTATTTGTTTCTTTGAACACTTACTCCGAGATGTCTTTGAGAAGACCTGGCAGAACCCAGTCTTCACTGTATTTAAACATTTTCTGAATCCTTATCTGTTCAGATATGGTTTACGGAGACTCATGTATTGGTTTTTGTCAAAGATAACTGAGGGGTTACACAGGTCTAAACATAACTCTTCATGCCATCCATGAGACTCGAGGAAATTCTGAATTGTGGCACTTTATACTGAAGGGATCCCCAAATGATTCTTTTCAGCTTGCAATCATTCAAGAACTTGAAAGTCCGAGGAGTAGCCTCAAATCTCTCATTCCCATAAATTTAACAGAGGTCACAGCATGGCCAATTCAGCTGAGAAGTGTTATTACAGAAAAACTTGATGATACTTTTGCGTTCACTGAAGTGAACATAATTCTCTGGGTCTTTTAGCTACGTATAGCATGTCTTACCCATAGAGACACTTTAGCAGATATATACAGTACCATGAGCAAAGCTAGAAGTGATGAATTCTCTGATTTATAACTTCTACTGATAACAAGATGAGAGAAAACCTTAAATGTATGGGTGATATTATATACACAGTGTAACTTTGCTCAGCAGAGAAGGAATGTGAAAGAAAAAGACATTTATCACCCCTCAACTAGGGGGACACTCCCCTGAATGACCCTTGTTGCCTGTAAAGAATTGAACTGATCTCTAACCAATGCATTGAAATCTTAAAGACAGGGTTAGCTTTGGAGGTGCTAAGTGTGGGTGTGGGTCTATGATTCTTACTGCTTTTAAGGATCACAGGCAGGAAGAAAGATGTGTATATAGAAGAGCATTTTTTTCTTGACAGATTTAATCTTCTGAAGAGATCTCAAACTGCTGAGTTGGCATTGCACCTCCTCAAGATCAACCACTGGATTTTAGCTCTGTAGGCACAAGAAACTAATTATTATAACTAAACTCACTAGTGATGAGGAGCTAGACAGACAGGCCGGATCCTCCTCCTTCCATTTTAAAGCTTTGGTGACTGGCAAAACCGGGCTCGAGTGGGAGTCCCTTGGTTACACTCCATTTAAAGCAGAAGCTGTGCTCATCTGCGTTAGGCTGCAGCTGCATATCAGTGCCGTAAGGGTCCTCAGCGCTGGTCTCTGTGTGATCCCAGAGTTTAAGCACACTGCCCAGATAAATATGAATTTGTTAATCTTTATTAGAAATCTACTTTTCAAGCCGATTTACAGCAAAGTCACTTAGTCAGATGAAATCATTGCACACTAAACAAACCTTTTAGGGATGTTTATCCAAGCAAAGGACATTCAAATGCATTTTCATTAGTAGCACTATATAGTTATTGTACTTAAAGACAAGTCTCTTTGATTTAATCTATTTGTTTACAGTTGTATCTAATTGCTTACAGTTGAATTTTCTTAATAACTGAAAGCTAATTTTTACCACTCTGGCTTACAAAGTCAGGCTGCCTGCAGATTAATAACACAAAGATTTGAGGACCGAAGGTGGTGCTGCCCAGTAGCGTAGCTCTGCCAGTGCTGAGGACTCTCCGAAACTTTGGGGAGTTTCAGATTATCTAATTCTGGTGATGCATATTGTGAAACAGAAGATTATTTAATGAGAAAATGACTGGCTGTGATGAACATCAGGAAATTTATCTATCAGGAAAAAAGTATTTTTCAAAACAGAAAATGTGATGTTTCTTTCTGCTAAATTCTGTACGACCCAAGAAGATGGGAAAGATGATTGATCTCATCCTTTTTATTTTCTACAGCAATTTTCAGGAACGACAAGTCCTCCCATTAAATGAGAGGCAGAGTTTCTGGTTTCCTGGCCTTGTTTCACTCTCTGCTGTCCCACCCATGGGACAAAGGCAGCAGAGCCTAAGGCAGAGTTCACCACTGACTTACTGAAATAAGTAAAGAACTGTCCCAGACTCCTCCTTTGACCTCAAGACAGTCATGGATTTTGGGACCCTGAAGCTGAGCCTTTATTTGTGAAAAAGGGGAAGAACATAGTTTCTTTCCCAACAGTGCTTTTTAGGTTTTCGCTTATTATCTGCTCTCTTGACTCTGCCTTCCAGGAAGATGACACTGCATTTTATATTCTGCTCACATGTATTTGTACCAATTTTTGTAGTGCTAACTCTAGTTAAAGTCAGGATGTTTTGCTTAGAAGTCAGTTTTCTCCATTTATCAGTTACAAAAACCATTTCTACCTAACAAAAGGTGTATTATAACCTTAGCAAATAACATTTTTGTTTCTTGTACAGCTTTGCAGTAAAGGTGCTGTTATAGACGATCACTTAGGCACATCTCCAGAAGATACTTCCAGTATCACCAGTTTTATTGGGACAAAGCTTGTAACCTGCTACTTAAAACTGAGGAAACCTGAGGATGCTCTGAATCATTCACACAGGTAAAAATAAATATTGGTTAGACACACTGCTAAGACTGAAATCAAAAATTAAACAAAGAGTATGAAAAAGTCCCATGCAGGAAGAATCTGTCTAACTATGAGAAAAGAGGAATCAATAAAACACAACTTACACATGGCACTGAGGTTTAGATTGGACTAATTCTCAAAATTTGAGGCATTAAGCCACAATACCCATGTATGCTTTTACTGCTTTGATAATGCGGTAGATCAGGGTATGCAGGTGAGTCATGTACACACTTCAGGGCACCCTGAAGGTTGAAACTAAGTATAAACATGCTCAGCCTTATATGACAGTGATGATATTATGAGCTCTTGATTTTTTCCAAGCCGGATTAGGTCAGGCATGGCTTCAAATTATTTTCATTACATAATTCCTCATGGGCTCTTGCGATCCACATCAAAGACCAGCACCACCAGCAGTGCGTAAAGAAGCCAGAAACAAAACTTGCACATGGTGGAGATGAATTCCCATTAGTTTCAGATAAGTCTGGATTTTGCTGGTGTTTTGCTGCCTTCAATTAGCATTCAGGCATAACCATAGTTTCTGTTAAGCACGTGGATGTCCTGCCAGCAATACTTCATTGTTGAGGTCTCCGTTCATTCTTTCCCTTGTATGAGATGTATTAAGATGGACACTGCAATTAGTGCAGGGTGAGAATTTTTTCATAAAATCATCTCTAATGATTATAACTACAAAAGAGGGGTTACAACAAAAGAGAAGGCACATGCTTATGCCTAGCGCACAGGAGCCAGTGGTGAAGAATAATGCATTGGTATAGAAATGTGATGCTGTCATGACTGCAGGTTCGTCTAGCTACATACAAAGTCATGGGAAGTCTGAGAATCCTGACTTAACAATGAGGTTTTCATCTCCCATCCCCACTCATCCCCACCCCTTCCCCAATCATTTTTCGGTCTCTAAAGCTATGCCTGCCTGGAGCCTAGCCACATTCTTGGGGTGCATCCTTCAGACTAGTTCCAAGTACCATCTGAATGCCCATGAGTGGTTAGAGAACATTAGGTGCTCTGCCAGCGCACGCCTGGTAGGGACACAACCTGTATATCTTTCAGGTGGAGTATTCTGTTAGGCTGGCCAAAGCATACGAAGTGGGAAAGACTGACATTCCTGTTAAAAAACAAAATCAAACAAAACAACAACAACAAAAAAACCCAAACCAAAACAAAAAATGCACTCCTCATGCAAACTGAAAACCAACCACATTTTTTGATGGCATCTCAAGACCATGTTAAAAAAGCAAAAAAAAGTTTGACTGGACTCTGAACTTTTGAAAAATGGTTAATGATCGCTCTCCTATTCTAACTGATTTCCAAGAACACTAAAATAAGGAAGCTATTTGAACAGTATAAATATAACTAGAACAAAAAATACTTTACCTCCTTTAAGTTATCTTGATTTCAAAATTGTAAGATGTATTGACCCCTGTGCTACAGAAACTAAAGCCTATTCAGACATGCTTTGCTTTCAATTGTTTTAAAACAGAAACCCATGACCTACAGAGAAAACAAATGCAGTCAGATTAAGATTAATAGAAAACTGAAATGGGGAAAAAAAAAAAATCTTCACTCTTCTTTCTTACGTATAATTACAAAAATTTGTCCTTATCTACAGCACAAATAAAAATAGCAATCAGTAATGCCTATTTTGTATATAATTTATTTAATAACTTGCAGAATGGGAATAAATCTACTCACCACATTTGCGACATTGTAACATGCAGGAACCGATACAATAGTATACCAGTAAAAATATTCTGAGGCATAATTAACGCAGACAAAATTTGAAATGTCATCAATAGCTATATTTTTCAAAAAGAACAAATAAATTCCTCCAACCTCTTCTACTAAAAATAGCTTACTGCCATCAGTTAACTAGTGCATACAGAATTTTTATTCCCCTTGAGTTTTTATGTCATCACCACATTGTAATGGTTTGCTGGTAATCCTTTGGCATTAATCATGAATCCAAATTAAAATATTCATTTCTGCATTTATTTGCATTTACAGAACTATTCTTTCTTTAATTTCATGTAAATTTCACAGCTCCTGCATTCATTTCTGAAGCCTTATTAACAAAAAATCAGCTTTAATATTTTCAGACATAGTTGTATCAAATATATAGAAGTGGGTTTTGCTGGGAAGAAATCTTACAAAGTATCACAACTAGAAAAATAGAGAGAAAAAAATCCAACTCTTCAATTTTAAAGTGTTCAAGAACAGACATCTTCAGCAGAATAGCTTTCCCATGCTTAAGAAAGGGAGTACAATTTATACCATCAGCTTTAGATGCTGTATGAGAAGCCAAGTCTGGGTCCTCCTGAAAAGTGGAAATTGTATTCTCTGGTTTCTTAATATCAAAATTTAATGCTGCCTTTAGCACCACTGGCACAATTGAGGACACTGGCTGGGTTCTGATCATTTGTCAGGCTGATACAAAAGATTTACCCTTTGCAATCAAATGCTATTAAAACCACTTCTCATTTGTCACAGCTCTGAACAAACGTGCCATGGATTGACCTCACCAAGGAACATCTGCAGTAACCTACCTGACCACCACTTTTCATCATAAGATAGCCATCAAAATAATTCCTAACTTGCAGTCTGAAGCTATAAAATGGATCACACAATATTTAAGTGCCCTGTGGTCCTTTTGGCCCAGGCATTATGGCATACCAGGGTTTAATGATCTTAATAACCCCATATGGCTTGCTGAGAAATTAGATTTTCCCTATGGTTGCAGAAGGCAATTTTCAATTATAGCAGATGGCAAAACAGTGAAGGTCTGAGAAGTCAAGAACTGACTAAGAAATCTCAGATTAGTACTTAGGCCTTATGTTGCTCAGCCTAATAATGTCAGTGGTTGATTTTTTGCCCCAAATGAAAACAATCTTGAAGCAGAGCACAGCATTTTAGCAGAGCAGTCCCCAAATTATGCCTGCTCTTCAGAAGGCTAGGCCCAACAGAGAAATCCATAAACCTGCAGTCACATGTGGAAAAACAACCCATGGTGCATCACGTATAGAGCTCAGCAACTGTTAAGATTCAATTTTGTTTGAAATTGAAGAGAGCAATGCTGAACTCCATGACAACTGAAGATGGAGGATCCTTCAAAACATGATATACACAACTTTCTCAATGAGACTCTGTATGCACTTATAGTTTCTTCGTTTCTTTTGGGTTTTTTTTCCTCCAAGCAAGCTAAAATTCATCTACATCAACACCATGTGACTTGCTCTTTGCACATGGGAAAATAACACAGAAACTTTCTACTGGAAATATGCTTTTTGCTGCTGCACTGATGCTTCCTCAGCTGCTGTGGTTCTCATGGCACACAAGATTTGAGGAGTGACAGACATGTGGCTTGATCCAGTTGCCTAAATATAGGCTGGTGTTCATACAGAACCTGTACATGGATCAAGCACTAGTAAGTGTGGAAGAGGTTAACATCACCTACCTGGCAGCAAGTGACAAAAAGCATTTTGTTTCATTTCTGCCTACTGTTGACCACTCCCCGCCCAGCTGCAATATGGCCACTGGTGCCACAGGACCCCTCTGGCAATAAGCTCCTCAGCAGGGGAACAAGGTGCCTGCCATAGGTGAAAAGTCATGGCTCTTCCCAAAGGAATTGCCATCGTGGCAGAGGAAGCCCACGGCTGGTGGTGGGAGGTGTGTTGGGAAGTGGTATCGGGAAGGATGTTTGAGACCTGCCTCCTCCGAGAGCATCCCTGAGCTTCAGTCCCTGCCCTCCTTCCCTTGATGAGGAAATTGTGGACATAAGGGCTGAGAGGAGGAGGATGAATCCGACATTGTGGCATGTTTCTTTAATGTTAACTCTAAGTAATGTCTGAAAAATACATTCATGATAATGGGGACTGCTTTACAGAGCTATCCAAAAATCTTCGGGGGTTAGCAAAGATTTTCCTGTGTCCTTGCAGACCCTGCTCCACAGCAGGACCCACTGCCAATTCTCTCCCTTGCTCCCAGAAAAGCAATGCATAGAGAATGTAGTAAATCTGTAAAGATTTTTCTGCTATGCCTTTTTATGTGGTCGGTGGAAGGCAGGGCTCTCTAATGCCTCTTGCACAATTCATAGGGAGACACATGAAGTAGAAAATAGTGCCTCTGTTAAGCAGTACACGATTGCTTTAGTGATGACTTAACAGAGGGAATCTCTTATGGAGGCGCAGTGGGAAAAAGATCTAAAACAGCTGAAGCCTCACAGATTTAATTCTAAATCCTTTGCATTTTTCCCAGTGACTTTACAAACACTTGCAAAAGGTTTAATATAAGTATTAGTGATCAAGCTTTATGCAATATCTGTCAAAAAAAAGGCATCTCAAAACTTGGTCAATGTATTATAGATAGGATAAGTCAGGACTCTTTAATCCAGATTAATTCAGAACTTTCAGACTGAAAATTCAGTATTCAGCTACTTCTTCATTCCCTAGCTTCCTTATTTTGCACCTTTAAAATAGTACTGTATAAGCTGAAGAATGGAATTCTAGTGAAAAATTAAATAATCAAAAATAAATAATGCAATGATGCTATGATGCGGTGAAGTCAGTGGGCATTAAAATGGAGACAGAATAGAAGACTACCTCAAGAAGAGCATAGATTTTTAGGTAGAAGTAAAAAAAGGAGGAACATAATGGTTGATGCTGCTGATCTGTGGGAAGTCTGTAGTGTAATGTATACTTTGCACTGAACTACTCTCCTAATCTCTTTACCTCCTCAGAAAAGGGAAGAAGAGAAGAATTAGCAGCACCTAATTACTTCAGCAATTGTGTTAGGCATATTGCAATATACATAATAGATGAGATATTAATACAAAGCTATTCCACCGAGATGCTCTGGATAATATAAAGGAGAAGTACTCTTAGAAATATTTGACAGGCTGCATGAGAAGGAATTATTTTTATGTACTTCAACTTTTTATTACTTTTTAAATGAGAAACATTTTC